GCAGCAGCAGCAGCAGCAGCAGCAGCCCACAGCCACAGTCCTGGCCTCCATCTGTCAATGTGACCAAACGGATCTGCTTTATTTCACACTTCATATATGAAGCTAAGTATTCCATTTTAATCCACACCTCACTTTGGTTCACAGTGAATTGTACTTTGTGCACGATTTATGCGCCAAAATCCAAATCCCTCTGTGTGTATTTGACTCTTAGGGAAAGTCCTCTGTCAGGACCACTATAGTTTATCGTCACAATCTAATTCTCCTTTATCAAACAACTGTCTTCCGAATCTCATTTCCACACTGTGTTTGACGACTGACACTGTAGCAGCATTTCCATTGTGCGAGGCCATGATTTAGGACGTGACTTTGGAGGAATTAGCAGCCAACACCGGGCTAACACACACACGGAACCTCACATGAGACTGGATCCAGTAACGCTCCTTCCCATTATATCATCATCTCGTCACCATCACCTCATTACAACAGCTACTGTCATCCTGTTACACTGCAGCCATGAAAGTCGGCAACATTTCACTCGGTTGATAATGAAACATGAAGTGATAGATCTCTTCGACCACATCCTCCACTGCATTAAACCACCGTAGATAACACTGTGCTCTGTTCCATTTCCAAAAAAGTAAAAATAACAGCCAGCCGTCCCATGTGCAGCACACAGGCCGTGTTGTGATCCAGCCTGCTGTTTGTCTGTCTTGTCTTTTTTAAATCTCTCTCTCTCTCTCTCTCTCTTCCACTCGCCCTCTTTCTTTCTTTCTTTCACCTACTTCCACTTTTATGGCTCGGACTATTCTGAACAGCTCCTCCAGAGTTTTCTCTCTCTGTGTGCAATTTAACGTTTCCCCTCAGTATTTTGTTGCTTTATTGCTTTACAGCTGAACGCAGACAGACTGCGTCATGAAGCTGCAGCCTCCTCAGGATAGTGGGGGCGCCAAAACAAAGTTAAGGTCAAGTTAGTAGGATGTACGTAGATATTCTTCCAACAACATCTGCACAACGTTGTTTTTTCGTGAGGACGTGGTCATTTTTATTCAATAAATATCGACTTTGCTCTCGTGTGAGTGAGTTTTTTATTTTTAATGCGGTTGGATTGGTGAACAGGAATCCAGCTCTGCACGCACCTCATCTCAGGGCTTTAAATGCTGACGTTCAACTACTTTTTGCAACAGTTTTTGAAGCCAGGGCAAGAAAAAGATTGAGCCTAAAACACATAAATATATGTTATTATATATTTTATAACTAAATTGTAAAACAAAACAACACGTTCTTATATATTTTTTAAATGTATCACTAGTAAAGTTTCTAAATTAAATGTCCAAATTATGTTGGAAGTTATTTTCGTTCTTAAATATTTTACACGCGCTTTTACACATTAAATTAGACATTTAAGTTTTTGGCACGAAGTAAAGGAGCAGCAGCGCCAACAGTAAAAGTTGTATTACGTGCCTAGAACTGTTTTATTTCATTTTAAATATAATATCAAAATACTAATTCACAAAGAAACAACGTTTGATACAACGACATACGTTACTTATTTACGTTAATGTAAACGTAACATTTACTTGTCATTTGTTTAAAACTAGAAAGGAAAACAAAGACGATAGTTTTTAAATGTGCTAAGGTTTAAAATAAAACAAAATAAATCTCAAACAAACGAAGACAATCAACTATTACTCAAAAACAAACCAGCAACAGGTCGCCATGTCAATTACAAGATTTTTGTTTTGTCAAATGAGCACAATTTTGAATAAATAGAAAATATTTACTCTGGTCGTTTTCGTTGTTTGTCTGTTATTTTAGTGTGAAGTGTAGAAAGTGTCTGAAAACAGAAAACGCCGACCACAAAGATGATTTTACCCGCAATAACAATAAACCAGGTCGCCTTTGAGCTTCTTTAAACGTGTGTGTGTGTGTGTGTGTGTGTGACCTTCAAACTCAAATCACTGAGGAATTCTCTATTTCTGTCCTTCGTCCAACATCTACAATGCTACTAGCATCACAGCTGTGTTTCCAGTGCTATCACAATGATAGCATTGTTTCACACAGTGATGAATAATATATATATACACACACACACACACACACACTCTCTCTCTCTCTCCAGCACACACGCAGAGGTACACGAGCCTCAGAAATGTGGAGTAAAGTAAATGATGAAGTAAATGGTATTAAACGTCATACTCACGAGTACAGAAATGAGGGTCGAATCTTACTGGAGACGTGTTGTTGTCCGCTGAGTGGAGTTTACTTGACAAACACCTAACACACACACACACACACACACACACGCAGGCAGAGGCCCTGAACACTGCAGCCATGGCTGTTTAGGTGCAATAAAAGGATTTGGGCGCAGAGGTTTGTAGCTGAATTCTTTTTGGACATCACCTAGACCACAGACGGTCACTGCTACATTTTTTGGACTTGGCAATGCAGTTCTTGGTGATTCATGTTTGCGGATGGCTTAGTTTATGTTCCTCTGTGAGAGCTAAATTCAACTTTTGAGGCATCTGCAGTGTTTACATGCCGTGGTCTGTTTGATTTGGCAGTTTGAAGACGCGCTCATCTGCACGAAACATTATGGCGAAAGTACTAAAGTAACGAGGCAACAAATGTTTTGGCATTCTGTTGGTGAGAGGCTTTAAAGCTAAGGTGTGTGAGGATTCATTTGTATGGTTTGCACTAGTGTTCATATCTGAATTTAGTTCCACTCTGCAGTTTGGCTTTCTTTTTTTTCTCTTTTTTCTTTATTGTTGGTGCATATGCGTTTTGCAGCTCACTGCGGGTCAGGGGGGCTGGTGTCTTACACTTTTCCCCTTTCCTTCTTACATCTGTTTGTGTGTATTTAAGTGTCTTCCAACCATCACGACGCCCAGGGTGTGTTATATGCAATGAACCTTTAAATGTATCTGAATAAAAAACCTGACTTAATGGCTCGATCCTGAATCACGTGCCATTCTGCAGCAGCAGCAGCAGCAGCAGCAGCAGCAGCAGTGGTGCAGACCCTGTGCATGGCCTTGGATGCCATTATCGCCATGCTCTGCATCAAGTAGCCTATGGAGGTCAACTCCAATGTTTCCAGCCTATTGCTGCCACATACAAACATGCCTCCCCCCTCTGCCTCCTCTCCCCCTCCTCCTCCAAACGTGTGCAGATTGAGGAATGAGCCTTTGCGGCTGTCATTACATATCATTACACGACGAGGATGGAGCCGCTGTGACGCTTTAAATCAAATATTCCAACAGTGGTTCACAAATTTCTCAGATTTTTTTCTTCCGCTCTCTTGCTGAGCTATAGGGTAAGGAGGCTGGAGAGGAGTTTCCTCCGCAGCCCGGGAGCCAATGAAGTCTCTTGCATGCGCTCACATGCGTTTTCTCCGGACAGGTTTTAATGACTGATATTATGTATGGTAATTTCTTAGCTGGATCACATGACACAATTACCTCAAGAATCGATCAAGATGTATTGCAGGTCTGCCTACGTTTCCGATTTTTTCTCCCTGGCGGTGTCTTTCCACGCGGCCGTGGTGCTGCTGGTAGTGGTGCTACAGATGGACAAAGTTTAACACAGTCGAGCCGCCAGTTCCTCTCCTCCCTTGCAAAGAGGGAAAGGGAAGAAAAGATATGACGGAATACGATGATCGCAGCTGCGCGTCAAATATGTATTTGCCGAGCTGTACTTATTACGTTTCGACGCCCGATTTCACCTCAGTCTCCTCGTTTTTACCGCAGACCACTTCGTGCCAGGTCAATTTCCCTTACTCTCCCAACATAGCACAGGTCCAACCTGTGCGGGAGGTCGCTTTCAGGGACTATGGACTGGACCATCCCAGCAAATGGCACTACAGGGGCAATTACGCGTCTTACTACTCTACGGACGAGATCATGCACCGGGACTTGATCCAGTCCTCCAGCAGCAGGGCGGAAGTCATTTTCAAAAACGAGTCCTTGTACGGCCACCACCACGCTGGGACCAGCTCGCCCTGCAATTTCTTCACCAGTGTGGGCCGAAACGGGGTTCTGCCCCAAGCCTTCGACCAGTTTCTTGACACTCCTAACACGGACAAGCTGAGCGCGGAGGTGGCCAAACAAAAGACGGACTGTGCTGCCGCTAGTTCTGCGGCCGAAGGTGGAGATACTGCCGGTGTCGGTGCAGAGAACCAGGCTTTGACCAAACTGGAGCCGGAGCACAAAGCGGATCCGACGGGCAGCGTGGACGAGGACTCATCCTCCTCCAACTGCGGCGACAAGAACAGCCAACAGAGTGGGTATCATTTTTGTTAGTCCCCCCTGTCTTTGTCTTCATGGATATGAGGTGTTCACTTTAGGACAATGGAGTGTGTGTGTGTGTGGACTGCACTGTCTGTGTCCAGGGTTATGTGGCGCTTTATAAGCATGCAAAAGCGTTTATATCCCAATAAGATCTACTTTACGGTTGTAATGGTATTTACAATGGCTAACCCAGAGTTTTAAAGGCTTCTCGGTGTCTTGTAAGCGTGAGGGGTTTGTTGAATATTATGTACTGAGGGGGGGATTGTTGGGAATGGTGTTTGGACAAAGTTAACATTGCGTGATGTGACGATATAACGAATAAATCTGTGAAATGTGCGCAACAGTGTAAGAATGTGACGGGACAACAACAGAGTATGCGTTAAATCAGTGCAGTAAACTTCATTTTGATGCAAATTCCTTCAGCATGTGTGTGTGTGTGTGTGTTTGCGTCAGAGATGGAGGCCTTTGTGCTGGGGTGAATAAATAAAAGCCTCTGTACATGTCAACAGGACTTTACATCAAATCTCTTCACGTCTGTCAACGTTTGTCACGTTTCTCTCCTCCCAGCTCCGTCCACCAAGTCCAGGAAGAAGAGATGCCCTTACACCAAATACCAGATCCGAGAACTTGAACGAGAGTTTTTCTTCAACGTGTATATCAACAAAGAGAAGAGGCTGCAGCTCTCCAGGATGTTGAACCTGTCGGACCGTCAGGTGAAGATTTGGTTTCAGAACAGAAGAATGAAGGAGAAAAAGCTGAACCGAGACCGTCTACAGTATTTCACCGGGAATCCTTTATTCTGATATTCTGACACACACACACACACACATACAGACACACACACACACACACACACACACACACAAAGACTATTCCTCTTCTGTATATTTGAATTATACCGATTTCCCTTTCAGAAATCTCACCTTGACAACACAGTAAATTCCAGACTCCTACGGTGATTTCCATTCTGAGTTTATTTATTTTTTTCGCTTCACCTATTCGCGCTTTTAGCGCCACCAAAAATGTTTCTCCCGCAGAGCGTCAGCGGCCCCTTTGGAACTATTTAAAATAAACTCTCTGTAGGAATTGTCTTTCTCCATGTGTATACTGTAATGTGCATTTATAACAGACGCATGTCATGTACGTTGTGGTGTGAAATAAAGTAGAGACGACAAATAATGTACTATAGTGACACGAAGCCAAGTGTGCGGGAAATTCTACACAAATGTCTTGTTGACAGGACGGAGAATTTGGCGCTTGCAGTCCAGTGTATGGTCCGGTTATTTCCTGGGTTGTTTACTAAACCTTGAACCGTCTAGACGGTACAATAAAAGCAGCTGTAAACGGCCTAAATAGGGGGCTATTGGACTTTGGCATCCCAGCCCCCTGATCTTAAGAAGAAGACCTCTCTCTTTCCTGTCCTGACCCACAGTAGCTTCACTCCAGGCTACAAATGTGTGGAGAATCCCACAGACCTCTGCGCATCTCGTCTATATTTAGCTGCTCTTTGAAATAGCAGTGAGATGTTGCAGTGTTATCTGCGATTTGAACAATGGATTTAATTCTGTCAAGGAGAGCCTTCTGAAAAAAAAGGAAAAAGATAAGTAATCTTTCAAGTTTATGTGTTCGTGTAGTGTATAAAATGGCAGTAATTATGGTTGTGACGCCAGCCGACGTGCTGCAGAGGAAGATGATTTCTAAATATAACCGAGTAGAGGAGAGAAAAAAACCAGCGCCTTTTCTTTATTAATGAACGCAACCCTGAGCTCCAGCTTGGTGACAGTGGAGGACGAGGCACCGCGTTCACCTCAGCAGTGACTAACATTTTTATTTTTCTAATGGATAAACTAAATGAATGCGATGATTCCTCTTTTTCTTCCCGCCTCCTCTGATGCTGGTGTTTTTATTTATTTTCGCTCCAGGCCTGTGCTGCAGCAACAATTAGGCCTTTTTCCATCTCTGAGCGAGCTTCACGAAAACATTAGGACGGGATTTAAAGCCGTTTTTTTTTATTTGCTGCACTTTCCCAAAATGGCCTGTTAGAAAACTGAGGTTTCATTAAGCGTTTAATTGGCTTGTCATCATGTCCTACAGTGAAACTGCATTACCAACTGTGTGCTGCCTCTCACTGTTCCTACTTGTATCCACATGAGGGCAGACTTTTGCTGCTGTGACTGCAGAGTGGGAAATGCAAAGAGTTGAGACAAATTTAACACACAAATAACTGCACGGAATCCAGGCGGCTGGTGGAGGAATTATGCGTTCGATGCAGTTTTTATAAATATATTTTTAATTATGATTCCACACGCATCCCTCGGAGATCAAATATTCACTTTGAGTAAAAGTTCAATAATTGTTTTAAACGCCTCTGGTTGGAATTCAAACTATTTCCACGGTGCATTTGCTCTAGAGATATAAAAACGCTTTGGTTTATGGCTACACATATTTGTTGTTTTTTAAAAGTTATTTCTGTATTTCTTCCTGTGTCCATGGGCAAACAAAAGGAAAGTGAATTCTGTGTATTATCTCCCGCACAGGAATTACATTTGCAAGTCATGTTCAAGTGTTTTTGAAAAGGCTCGGAGAACAAAAGGAATGTAACAATTCTCGTGTCTTTGTCATGTGAACTTTATAAACCTCGATTTGTGGCTGAAGGCCACACACTCACGTGTAGGCCAAGGAACAGCGTCTGAAAACCACTGTGGTCGTGGAAATAACTACACTATTATGACGTTTTTATTGGTATTATTATTATTATTATTTTCAGATTTCAGATTTTGCAGCTTTATACATTTTACCGTCACCGTTTACCTCATCTCTGTCATTTCGATACGGTGAAATTTCGATATATCTATATATTTACAGCCGAGCTGCGCTCCTCCACTGAAGGCCTTTGTCGTTGGTAAAAACATTAATTTCACCAAAAATGTATTTGTGTCCATTTCGTCCTTGAGTCCAATATTTTTTATTCCTACATTTAAAGTGAAATTATATATGTTAAAAAAATTATTCTAACGAATATAATGATCGAGTTGATGAAGGATATATTCCCATATATAGAGATTTAATGCTGAATGTTATCTCTGGACCATTGTTATGATTAGAAGAATATAATTAAAGCAAAACTATTGTCCGTGTCTTTAAATGTCTCATTGAAATTATATTCCCGCCCAACTTTGTAAAATAATAATTATAATAAACCCACAGCGTGCCCCCAAAAAGGTGTTGAAAAATAAAGAATATTGAATTTGAACAGGTCTGTATTTTTGTTGTGTGAAATCCGCAATGTCGCTGCTCTGCATGCTGCACATGTTTATTCAAAACCAACTGTTAATAGCCTCGTAAACAACTGGGATGAGGTTTACTGCGACACAAACACGCTGTTTATTTTAAACTTGTCACGTTGATACCAAAGAGAGAAATATTCCCCCAGACTGAACATAATTTCTACAGTAATTTAATTAATATTCTTTCAAAATAAATATTTTCTTTGCTTCTTTGAAATAGAAATATCCCTGTGTGTGTGTGTGTGTGTGTTTGCAGACATTACAGAGAAAAAACAATATTTCATTTCCCGACGACATAGTATTTCCCCATCATTGTGTTTAAACGTCGAAAATACACTTTGTGACAAATGCAAAACAGCGACATTGCCCGTGTGTAATAATAAAAGACACATTTCTATCTGGATTATATGTTGGCCTTAATTTCGTGGTTGTAAAGCTCCTAATGTTGACCTTCATGCATATAGACCTGCAAATGATTTGTTCAAGTTTTATCTGAGATTTTACTGTCCGGGTCTTCCATAATAAAGGTGATCTCCTGCAGGACATGTCGTTGGCTGCTGCTGCTGTTGTTGTTTTCTTTCTTTTGTTTCATTTTTCTTTTTTTTTTTCAAGCTAAAGTGGCCCAAAATGAGCACAAATAATTAAAAGTAAACTAAATAACTCCTTAACAGAACTAATAGATATATTTCCATCAAGAGTCGTTTATTTCTTTTGATTGTAATTAAAAGTGAAACACAGTAAACACAGACAGAACGCAGTGAAGGAGAATTCCTCCAATAATATGAATGGATTTTATGCAGGCACTTACATTGATACAGTCAGCAGTTGTCGCCTATGCGCCATATAACACACAGACACACACACACACACACACACAGATACACATTCACATCAATGCATAGACACTTTCAATGTCTGACACAAAGACACATGTGACTTCACTTCGTTCTGTACTTTTCAAACCACGTCACAGACACAGATGATCTCTCGCCTTCCTTAACGCGATAATTGCCCATGTTTTTTTCTTTTTTTTTTTGGTTTATTATTGAGCAGCCCTGTGTGCTCCAGCCCCGTTGTGTGCAAAACCAATTTCAAGTCCGTGTCGTAGGTGTCGCTGTTGACCAACGTCTGCATCCGCAGTGCAAAGGAGCGCGTGCGGGCGCAGAGGAGGCTGCGTCTCAAGGCCATTTTCAAATCTCATTGGTGGGCTTGTCATGTGGTCGGGAGGCATCCTGACTTACACGGCGAGATTGTTTTTCCTATAGATATGTCAGCTTACAAAGGACATCTCTCTCCTCCAAAGAACCGAAGCACCCCCCAAAATGTCTTTCCCCAGTAGTAGTAGCTCTCCTGCGGCAAACACGTTTTTGGTGGACTCTTTGATTGGTGCCTGCAGGACGGACACTTTCTACTCCTCCAACGGCAGCAGCAACATGTACATGCCGCCCGGCTCAGAAATGGGAACTTACGGAATGCAAACCTGTGGACTCCTGCCGTCGTTTGGCAAAAGAGGGGAGGTCGGCCACCAAAATGTGGGCATGAACGTGCACTCGTACATACCTCAGCTAGACAACTGGACTGATCCGGGTAGACCGTGCAGAATAGAGCCGTCCAGTCAGATGACAAACTGTTCCTTCTCACAGAGCATAAAGGAAGAGGGCAACTGCTGCATGTACTCCGATAAGAGAGTGCAGAAAGTCAGCGTGACTGAAGTACCTTCATATTCTAATGTCGCTCCCGAGTCCTGTTCGCCCGACGGTCCAGAAATCCCGGTACCGGGCTATTTCAGGCTGAGCCAAACTTATGCCAATGGGAAGCATCAGGAAAGCTACTGCCACGAGCCGCCGAGCCCAACACCAACACTGATGCAGCTCAGTCGGCTCACCCCGAAACCGCAGTCCACATCTTCCACCACTTCATCTTCGTCCTTAGAGGTGGAACGGAAAAGTGAGGAGATCCTCCAGCTGCACGAGCCGGAAAACTCCAGGACTCCTGTCCCCGCGGAGAGTCCGGATCCAAAGTCCGGCTGTGAGGAGAAGAGCTGCAGCCTGGAGGCGCCTGTGTCCAGCCCTGAGCTGCAGCAGCAGCAGCAGCAGCAGCAGCAGGAAGGGAAAGGTGGGGTTTGTTGGCCACAATCAAAGCTTTTATCTCGTGGCTCTGCAGCTTTGAGAAGGCTGTAGTATCATAAAAGCAAGTATAAAACACAAACAACCCCGAAAGTCGTAATGTTTAATGAGAGTCTTTTCTCAGGTTGCAGTTATAGGCAGCAGAGAATGGTTTAACCATGCAGCATGCATGCTCTGACGCTCCCTCCTCCAACATATTAAGGTGGGTTTTGTTGGCCACAATCAAAGCTTTTATCTCGTGGCTCTGCAGCTTTGAGAAGGCTGTAGTATCATAAAAGCAAGTATAAAACACAAACAACCCCGAAAGTCGTAATGTTTAATGAGAGTCTTTTCTCAGGTTGCAGTTATAGGCAGCAGAGAATGGTTTAACCATGCAGCATGCATGCTCTGACGCTCCCTCCTCCAACATATTAAAACTCACAACATTTGAGTTAATGATAATCCCAAGTACTGTGCAAAGAAAAACGGTCTGCAAAAAGAACCGAGTATCCGATTGCATTTTTTTCCCTGTTTAAAATTCAAAATTAATTGTGCAAAAAATGGTGCATTTGCAGCTCCAGCTGTGCTGTTGCACAGATCACTGTGCAACTGTGCAAAATATGACTGAACTACTTTGGGTTAGAAACTGAATCATAAAGTGAGTCCTCATAAAACAATCATTAAATTACACTTGGAAGGATTTTTTTTAACTTTTAATGAAATTAATTGATGTGGGTTTTGGTGACGTTTTAGGTTGTATTATTCAGTGTGGTTGTGTGTGTGTGTTTTGTGTGTATTTGTGTGTGTGTGTGTGGTTTGATCAGCTGGGGTTTCATTTCATTTCTCTTTTATTAGTGGTGGCACACATTCATGACTGACTAATAACCTCTCCTGGATATTAATTATTCTGGGAAGGCGCGTTTAGATATTGTGTGTGTTATTTCCCAGCGGTGAGATGTGGGAGCAGCAGGTGAGATTGTTGCTTGGAGAAGAATCCCCCTCCTCCTGTGTGCAGATGCTAAAAATACACGCATGTCTCTGATCTGACTCTGATTCCACAGTCTGCAAGAGCGACACGGCGACCAGCAACTGGTTAACAGCCAAGAGTGGCAGGAAGAAAAGATGTCCCTACACCAAGCACCAGACCCTGGAGCTGGAGAAGGAGTTCCTCTTCAACATGTATCTGACCCGAGAGCGCCGTCTAGAGATCAGCAGGAGTGTCAACCTCACCGACAGGCAGGTCAAAATCTGGTTCCAGAACCGCAGGATGAAGCTGAAGAAAATGAACAGAGAAAACCGCATCCGTGAACTGACCTCAAACCTCACTTTCTCCTGAGCTGCCACGTGACGAGTGCTGCAGGCTGAGGTTTTTATTTTCATTTCTAATGTCTCCCGTGTTCACTCTCATGGTTCTGGTGTCACTGGGATTTTACCTACTATTTCAGCCAAACTGACTCTCAGTCATCTGTGCCATGTTGGAGTACATTGTGTGGCGTCTCGTAGCCGTTTATTTGTTCATCAGGGTAACACGTTTTTTTTCTTCCCTTAAATTTATTGGAGAAGTCAACTTCTCTCTCTGCCTCTCCCCCCTTTTCTCCTTTCTCTCCGTACAGACATGGATGTATTCTGTTGTGTCGAGGTGGACGTTGCTTTACCTTTTTGTCGTTTTAAAAAAGAAGCACATTATTATTATTATTATTATTATTATTATTATTATTATTATTATTATTATTATTTTTATTGCTAATTATATTATTGTTGTGAATAGTGTAAGATTTCTTTTGCAGCCAGTGAATTGTTTCTATCCGGGTCTTTTAAAGTGACGGAGAACCAGCCGTTGTTCATCTGTGAATTTTAAACGCATGTGTGTGGCATGTAAATACTTGCAATAAATGGATTGTCAAATACTGTAGTCTTTAATTCTGACTGTGTGAATAGGTGTCCACGAACTGTGTTCTCCTCAGCTTTCACTCTGAGAACCAACCCGGTGCGTCAGTTTCCTGGTGGTTTATTTACGTAATGACTCAGAAAGTATGACCCAAAATATTCCTTGACTGAAGAACAACGTTCTCAGACTCAGTTCTAATGTGTCACTGATGTCAATTATTGTGTTGCGTTTGTGCTTCAGTCGAACTGGCATGGAACTAAGATCTGAAATATGTATCGTTTAATCCAGAAACACGGATTATATATGTTTTGTTGAAATCTTCCTGCGTTTTTAAATCTGAAATTCGGCGTATAAGTTACCAGTACACAAAACAACAAACGTCATGAACCTAGCAGGAAAAACGGTGAGATATTTGCAGAATAAGGGCCACATAAATTCAAACCGAAGCGTTATTTTTTTGCCGTTTTATGCCGCATTTCACACGCCATTGTCTTTACACGAGGAAACGTCGTCAAACTGATTAATCGAGGGTTGGTTAAGCGAATAAATATGATTTTGTTTTTATTCCTCGGGCCAAGCCACTGCTACAGTAGTATATAAAGTGCTATGACAGCTTGTTCATGATCAAATCCACAGACAGAAATCTGGTCCTATAGAGAAGACACGCTGCACTTTTTTTTAGGCAGTACAATGTACATTTCGCTAATTATTGATGCAAAACAAACACAGAATCATACCGGACAAAGATTCTGCAAAAAACAAAAAAAACAAACACAGAAAAAAAAAATCAAACGCAATTTAAGATTGTTCCCTTTGAATTACAAGAGTAATGAGCAAATATACTTTTTCTGTTTTACTGACGTCACAGGCACCTCATAAAACATTTATTGATACATAAATGGATTACTACTTCTTTGGAATTAACACAATAATTTCACAACTGTCACCAAGTTGTGAAGAAATCAACAAAAGCCAGAGGGGAAAAATATAAAGATATACATACATATATATATGTGTGTATATATATGTGAAGGTAAATGGCGTCTGTTGTTTTTACAGCGTTGTTATTACGTGTATTTTTACGAGGACTGCGTTGAGTCTATAAAGTATTTTACAGGCACGGAGGGCTATCAGCAAGATATTAGGAGGGTTTTCTAACATGGAGATGTAAAGGATTCTGTCTCTGTGTGTGTGTGTGTGTGTGAGGAGGGGGGGTCTTATTCTTTTTTTGCACTGTTGCAACATCCTGCAGCCACAGGCTGGTGTAAAACACAGCAGAGAGAAGAAGAAGAAGAAGAAAAAAAAAATCATTTGCATTTTTCTGAGCGGTACTTTTCGCCCTACAGTCACAGCTTTATTGTTTCTGAAGTGAAAATCTGAAATGAAGTCTGGCCAAGAAGAAAAAAAAGGAAAAGAAAACACGAGAGGAAGAGCTATGGAGAGAGCGCAAGGGCAGGATTGATTTACTTGCTGTATTGGTAAATATGACCACGTGATCCATGTAACCAATCCCTGTAGATGCAGGCCAGCAAAAATACCATGATTGTTCATAGAGGGAAGCTTGTCGTAACAGTGCAAGCCCTATTATATGAGTAGGAAGAGATCAAAAATGTCTTCCAGTGGTGCGCTCACTAACGGCTATGTGGACGCAGTCATGGGCCCGGAGCCGGAGGATGTGTACGGGGCTCGGTTTCTCCAGGCTCCACACACGGTGGCCCCCAGGCCTTCAGGTGCCGGGGACAACGTAGACTTCTCCTCCTGCAATTTTGCACCAAAGTCCGCCGTTTTCCCCTCTTCCTGGTCCTCGGTTCACCCGCAGGGGATTTACCATCCGTACGTGCACCACCACCACCAGCACCACCACCACCAGTCCCATCTGCCCGCCTCGGACGGCAGATATGTCGGCGTCCGCTCCTGGATGGAGCCTCTCTCCAGCCACGTCTCCTTTGCAGGATTCCACTCCAACAGTCGCTCCTACGGGGCCAAGCCCGAGCCTGTGCCGCCGAAAGCCGCCGTCGAGTGCGACACGTTGGAGGCAGAGACGCGGCCGCTGCCCGCGGAGGAGTTCGCCTGCGGTGGAGCGTCCGAGTGCGCGGAAAAGACGAACCAGGAGCAGAGTGGAAGTGAGCTTTCCAGCCACTGCAGCGACTCCAAAGAGGAGAAACAACAACAACTTGACCCAAGTAAGTAAACGAAATAGCCAGTGATGATTTACAGCCCTCAGAACTGTATGAGCTGGGTGTGTAAAACTGGAGGTTTTACTAACCTATAAAAGTGTCTTAGGCTATAGCACGGCTCGGGAAAGGGAAGGGAGAAAAATCCAAGCAGATAGAAGGGTTATTACAGAGGGATCTTTAAATGTAACAGCCGGGAAACCCAAAATAGACACACAGGCTTCGATGATAAGGTCCTACCCACAGACTGGATTTAGGGAGCAATTATTTTCATCTTTTTTTAATAAGGACTCCACGGGAGAATCGAAGGGACCACGGGTGTAAAGTCGTCTGTTTGCAAAAATGTTGATTTCAAATTTGGATTTATTTTATTTTTTTGCAAACTCACCAAAGCCCACGGAGGCTGTAAAGCCATTCATTAAATTATTACATTTATTTAGTAAATGGTGTGTCTTTTTAATGACTTATTTATGCTTTGAGTATCATTTCTTTTCATTTCTTTTTAAAGACAACCCTGCTGCAAACTGGATCCACGCACGCTCCACGAGGAAGAAACGCTGCCCCTACACTAAATATCAGACTCTGGAGCTGGAGAAGGAGTTCCTCTACAACATGTATCTGACCCGGGACCGACGCTACGAGGTGGCCCGGATTCTCAGCCTAACCGAGAGACAGGTCAAGATCTGGTTCCAGAACAGGAGGATGAAAATGAAGAAAATGACCAGAGAGAGAAGCGGCGGTAAGGAGCTGCTGTGAGAACCCGGACTGTTGTCACTGCTGCTGCTGCTGTCGGTGCCATTTCACTCCTTCACGACGTTGAAGCCATGATGTGAACATTTGACTTTAACTTCCTTCACTGGAGCTTCAACAGTAGCCGTCTCTGAGGCGGATTAAGTACTTAAATATTGACAAACTCTACAAGGCCAGTGCACAGGGACTGGTCTTGTGGTGACTGTGGCGCGCACACGTCAAGATCCTTTTGGATTTTTATTTTTGTGCTTGTGGTTTTTTTTTTCAATTTTCTTTTTTGTTTTTACGTGTTTACACCGTCTCGAGGTGGGATGCTGGAGCAGTTTCTCCGCTTTGTAAGAAAAAGAAAAAAACACAAGTTGGCTTTAAAGCACTGCCTTTGTAGTTGTAAATATTTTTGGACGTGTGTGTGTATACGTAAACATAAAACACTTAAGCTAAAACACGTTGCTGTTTTGGACAAAACATAACGCGCACACATGAACATGTACAGACGTTTGCATCACAAGATGAAGATGAAAAACATAACCCTCTGCTAACATCTTTGAAACTCAACAATTTGCAGTATTTTTTCAACTTAAAAAAAAAGAGCCGCGCCTTTCGCTGCACACTGCTTCTGGTTTATTTATTGGCTGTTTTATTGGGAAATGCACATCAAATTTTATTCTGCGAGGCCTTGTTTGCACACGCGCCGCTTGACTCCAGAAAACTGAAAACAGTCTTTATCAAACTTTGATCGATTCCTCCATGTGCAGACGACACAATCAAGACTTTAGATAATTTTAGCAGAAAGTTGTTGTAATCTCTAGGTTTGGAATGGTACAAACAACAAGTCATAAAGAGTTTACGACGGGCCGAGGTGTCAGCTGCGGATTTCCAATTTATTGTTCAACATGTAGGAATAATTGTTTTAAAGCAGGAAGAAACGTGGGCCAATAAAGCCATAGAAATGGCTAGACGTCTGGCCTAAATGACTTTATGGTCCTGGCCAGTAATTACACTCTCCTTTGAAACCCCCCGAATTTTCTCTTTAGGCGTTTGTGTGTGTTGCTGACAAACAGAACCGTAGACACCTCTTTCTTTTACCTCGGGGTGTCTGCTCTGTGAATTGTTCCAGAGGAAATCAACCCCCAACGGCACCACCAACACCACCTTTGTAATGGTCACGTTTATTCACCAACTCCACTTCCCATCGCTGGGAAGAACAAAAAAACTTAACTTTGACTTGTATACAAGCTTTTGCTCCAGATTTGATGAGTTTAAATAAAATACATTTTCTGACACAGGTTAGAATTACAATTCCTATCAAAAATGCTCATCTCTGAAGCTAATATTGTTTATTTATCTTTGTCCCAATTAAGCAGAGCTAGGTTTGAGATTATATTCTGTGCAATGCAGTGCTGCTCACTGATGTAAATGAGAGCACTAGAGGGCGATGTTGTTCTTTTTAGCCTCAGTCAAAGCAGCTCTTCCCCATGCAGACAACACATGGACAGCACAGCTTTGTCCTCATGGATCCATTTATCTATATAAAGAAAAACAAGCAGATCTTCTCCAGAAAGAGTCAAAGATTTATTATCGTTCATATTTTTTTAAGATGAAAGCTGCTCTTTTAGGGAGTTGACGTGGATTTAATTGTAAAAAAAAAAAAATTAAATCTACACGTCTTTGTTCCATTGTTGTGTTATTTTCTCCAACTGTTACTGATGGCTTCAGGACTTTATACTGCGGTATTTTTCAGACAACATGTCAGAATTATGGCAGTCCATTTTCTTACCGACCTTGTATAGAAACATGTGCAAATAGTTTAAATTTAACTTGAAGATAAAGCACAACTCTTTGAAAATTTCAGTTGTAGTTATTCTGTCTATGAACGTCTGCGAAATAAAAACAGCGTAGACCTGAATAATAATAAAAACTAAAACCCTGAATTTTGCGCTTACAAAATTCCCTGTGCTGCCTCTGGATTTTATTATGACCAACTCAATCACGAATTTAAAGAAAACGGCACCGAGGTTGAGCACAAAGGTAGAGCTGGAACGCAAATGAAAATGCATATAAATATGTGAAGTATTTCCTGCAGCGATTTCTTTCCATCTACTAATTTAAAAAGCATTTTAAGTTAAATCAAGGCGCAACAGAAATAATTAGATTGTTAGGATAATGTGTCTCATCCTACACAAACACAATAATTTAAACGCATTGAAGGCCTGTATTAGCTGTGTCTTTTTAAGGCCTCAAATAATATTACGATTTTTCACAAATTCACTAGTGTCCTTTATTATTTAATTCATTGTTGTTGTAACCTTTCCCTGCTTCGTGTATAGATTATTTGTTTTCCTTTGCTCATGTTATCGTCAGCGGCTCAAAGACATAGTCAAAAAGAGATGATGGAAAATAAGTAAAAATGCCGTTAGAAAAACTGCACAGTCTGCATTCCCATGTTTTCATTGACCCACATTGATACTGCATTTACTGGTTTGTAAAGCGACATGGCGATTATTTTAATCCGCGTCTTTGGAGAAAACTCGACTCCAGACTGTCGACGCATGTGCGCCACAAACAGCATTACATGCCGTTCACACTAAGCAGCGTTCATAATGCCACAGAGACAGTGTGTTCAGATGGAGATGCGTTCGTGCCTCTGCGTCAGTCTGTCTCCCTGCCTGCATGTCCTTGGTCATGTGTCTCCTTCCTTCAGTGGTCAAACTCACTGCGGGCCGTGCACCAAGTAAGGAGGTCAGTTATTTCACTCTCACCATCAGCTGTGGCCTGTGTTCAGGTTACACTCTATTTGTTGCCACACTTCCACGGACTAAGTCCGCTGATATGTCTGTCATGTCCAAGATGTAATGGCTGCGACAGTGAGTCCTGGGTAACAGACTCCACCTGTAATCAGAATAATGTCGCATTTTTACTAGAAATGACGGTTAAAATTATCCGGATAAATATAACATACACAACTAAACACGTTTTCCACGCGATTCACGTTGCTATTCAGTACAAATCTGTGTATAGGTTTGCACATTAGCATATTTGCTAACCGTTATGTTGCTACTTTGTTTAAATAAAATGAACAGGCAAAAGTTTGCAAAAATCGTTATGGAAAGGATTATGGGTTTTAAAGACATCTAAAGTACTTTAGAGTTAGCCAAAGGAGTATCTTAGTAAACTGTATACGATAACAAACAAATTGGCTACAATTAGCCACAGATAGCTTAATATTAGGATGTTCTAAATCACTGGTTAGCCATAATCACGGGATTTGGTGTCCTCGTTAAATAAAAAAAAAGTTGATATCATAGGACAAAAATAGCTATAAATGGCTAAATGTTAGCCTAACATAATATGTAGCAATTCGTTAAATCGGTACCTAAACTGTAACACTGTAGCACAAAAAAGCAAAAAGAATATTCTAGAATAAAATAGGAAAATGTTACAGGCAAGAAACTAATTAACCTAAATTAAAGTTGTTTAATAGTTTAGTGGGTAATATATTTTTGCAAAGTTTATAAATTGATAAATTTAGTTGCAATACACTTCAAAGGTTAGCCAAATAATGATAACCTTTACAACAAATGCTAACAATGTTTAGCTCTGCTCAAACAAGGAAAAGAAACCAGTCGTTTGGCCAAATATGAGCATTCAGGGTTTTAAAAACCCTTAAAAACTGAGAATAGCTGCAAATTATTTCTGATAAATATATTAGCTACTGATTTTTGTAACAAAATAGATATAAAATAGTCTAAAGTTTTGTTTGTTTTACATAACAAAAGAACAGTTAGCTCCTGAAGATACAATTCGTTAAAATAATTAAAACTAAATAATTAAACTCTCAATAAATAATTATCTGAAGATACAATTTGTTAAAATAATTAAAACAATAATTAAAAAATAATTAAACTCTCAATAAATAATTATCAGACATAAAACGATAAAAAAACGAAAACACTGTTACGTCAAACAATAAGTCAAAATTGTTAGCGTAAAAATAGCAAAATATCAGCGAAAACTGTTACGTCAAACAATAAGTCAAAATTTTAATGTCCGAAAACACCCACCACGTCCTCCATTATGAAAATAGATAGAACTGAGAAGCCTGGGTATAAAATGTCCAACCAGGCTTCCGTAGCACAAACAGCTACACAATGCTGGCAGGTCACGATGGACTAAACCTGGTATGTCCAACATTTTATAGCAAGTCGATTAGAAAAATCTAATAACTGAAACAATCAACCACCAATACACGGAAGGCATATGTTAGATATGTACATTTTTTAAATTTTGCTTTATAATTTGTAAAATCTCCCGACTCCTACTAATACAGTATGCTGATGATGCGTTTGAAGGCTAAAACAAATGTTAGGAAAACGATGACAATGTTTACTGACGGTTTAGAGAGAAATGCATTTTGAATTCCGTGAAATAAATAAATATTTATTCTTCAAGTTTGATTCGCAGTAAATGAAAAACAGGCGCCTCTCTGCTGCTAAAGGTGTAAAATACACGCAGAGCAATAAAATGACATTATCAGTGAAACGAACCCGAAGTTGAAACGAGAACAGAAGAAGAAACGTTCAGTCCTAGTCAACATGTGTCCTGAGGGTTAATGAACATCAATGCAGCAGGACATCTGAGTGCGAGTACATTAGGTTACGATATCATAAAATACTCTGTATGTCGTTACATTTAACTCTTTAAAGCACGTATCAAACGCATTCATGTATTTAAAAAATATTTAAACTTTATATTGTGGCGAGGTTGGTTCTTAAACCTAACTATTTGTTGTGAGTAACCCACAAAGATGTTCTACATTACAATATAATATATGTTAGTGAGATTATGTTTAGTTTAGATTAAACCAGTCATTCTTAAGGAAAGGGTCAGGGCCCACAAATGGGCCACATGAGATCTGTTTCTGGTCAACACTCCGCCATATTTTTCATGATTTTTCAATACTATTGCTCAACATCAATCAGCATGTTTTAGTACAAAAAGGTTGGGCTTGCTACATTTTTAAATTTATAATTAAGAAAGCAGGAAAATAAATATGAATCTTTGATTCAGGCAGATTTGGTCACAATAAATATGTTCAATATGTTTTCGACCAAGGCAAAGAAACAGCAGAGTAATTTGGAAACATAGAAGTCAGCTCTGCTGGTTTGCATGCACACGTTTATTACGTTGCTGGAGGTAACACTGCTGCACACACACATGCACACACATGCACACTCACAAACCTTTGTTTGGCTACTCTTGTTAGACTCTGCACTGACTTGAATTCATTTCTACACCTAGTAACCACAATCTTATCTTTTACAATCCTAATACTCATGATACGACCTTGTGTTTAACTCAACCTTTTATTATCACTACAACAAAACCTCAGAAACGACAATCTGCCTCATTTGGACTCAGCCTTATCCTCAAAAATGCATTCAAAAGATTCAGCAATGCTACCAAATGCTATTTATAACAAAAAGGTGTCACTACACTGATGACGTCATACATATGTGGAGCCTTAACATTATGTCGAATCATTTCCTTATGTTTATGAATAGGCTTAGGGAGTATATTATACTGACTAATCCTAATCCAAGTGACTCGCCTTTTCAGAGGAAGACGGTGTGTTTGGTCTTATATTATATTATATTATATTATATTATATTATATTTTATTATATTATAATATATTTTATATATTATATTATAGATGCTCGTTATAGATGCTCATTAAAACAATTCTTTTAGTACAACGTGGCACTTCCCTCTCCCCCACTCCCCTCTTCTCTCTCTCTTTCTCGCTCTCTCTATAGTCAACACCTCAGCGTTTCTATTGAAGACCGAAACCTACGTTAATCCAAATTTGCCCTCTGCAGTGCAGCTAAATAATCCCGCCACATTACATTTGCCTATGTTGCTCTATGGTTTCAATACTGCCATAGTTGTGAAATGCACCAAATCCTTATCTCTTGCGTCACAGACGTACACACACTCTCCCTCCCTCTCTCTCTCTCTCTCTCACACACACACACATATACACACCGTCAGGCAGGAAACCAGAGACAGACTATAAATCGCACAGGCTGACTCTGGCATGCCACCAGAATGTAGATTCTCATTCAGGCAGGTCACAGTCCTCCAACATTTTTGCAGGATAAAATTGGGAAAATGTTTTGGCTGCAAACGGCTATTCTCACAGACTCATCTGCACAGGCAGCTGGTATAATAAATAAATAAATAAATAAATAAATAAATAAATAAATAAATAAATATGCACGAATAATTAAAAAACAATTCTCTCTCAACAGTTGTACGGAGACTGAGACCGTTACAGAGATATACGTGCAATTTTAGAATGAATCTAAGATCATGCATCACTGCATTTGAAGCCAGCGTCTCTTTATTGCTACGAAAATGTTCAATAAGTATATTGCACGTCCAGGCAGTAGCACCGAGCAGTGGTGCAGTGTCTGGCTCATTCAACTGGACGTAAGCTTAATAGTGGCACACATGAAAAATACATACTGAATGTGGCCTATTTTTTTTTGTAAGTTTTAAAGTCTTTTCTAGCAAATATGACGTCATTCCGTTCTTGAATAACACATATACAGCTTGTATTTAGATATGTATTTATTTTTATTCTCTTTGTGTAACCAAACATTGGTAAATACATATTCAGTTGTCCATGTCTCGGACATTTGTGGGTCTTAATAAAATATTTCGAACGTTTTGGCATTATTTGGTTTCCCCGGCTGTGGCGTCCTGGCTGTGCACAGGCCTCTGGGGTTTATCTGACACAACGCCTTATATTCAGCCACATTGGTAATTCGACTTTGGACAAAGCTTTTATGTAATGTAAATTTATTTTATTTCAAATAGTAAAATGTAAAAAAAAAATAAAAATAGCAGCATAATGTGTTTTCCTGTATTTATAGCTAAGTTTAAAAAACATGAAAAAAAGAAAAAGATGCATTTTTCTATTTTAACTTTCAAAAAAATAATAATAATATGTTTAATATAAAATAGAAAGAAAATATCTGGCGCCAGAACCTGCTGGAATTGTTAGTCGACCACGAATGGAAACACAAAACAAAGGAGAAAGGCTGCTGTTTTTTTTTTAATCTCCCCCTTCTTTCTCATAAAGGACATGGAGGGGTTTGTGCCATTATGCGCAAAGATGGGGGGAATTGCTGCTGCTGCCTTTACTGCTGCTGCTGCTGCAGTCGAAATTCCTTTTTGTGAGCGGAGAATTTACAACTTGGTAATAGACCTTTTTATGTGCCTCCATCGCCTGTCATTGGATGCCACTGGTCATGTGTGAGAGGCAAACGTCTTCATGGCTCTTTTCCTGATTTCCCTGCAGATTTGGTTTCCCACTGCATTCTGCTGCTGTCTGTGCTGCTCCAAACCCACACGCCCTGCAGGCTCTTCACTCTTCAGCTGCATTTATTTCTTTAAAACAACCCCAGTTTTATTTACTGCTTTATTTTAAACGTCCGACCTGCGCACATCCTGCGGCACAGACAGATCAGCCCCGGGGTCTCCTGGATGAGAAGAACTTGGTCGGTGTCTGACTTGGTCATCCACAGACTCTGACCAAAGATGTTGTGCACCACAGCCCAGGTGGACAACATGGGATCCCTCCTGGTCACAGGTATGACTTCTCTAAAAGCAATAGTGGCTCTAATGTGTGTCTGTAAGTGTGTGCATGTGTGCGAGTGCATATGAAGTTTGACAGCTTCCTGTTTCATTAGTCATGTAAATGAGCGGAAGACTCGCTGCTATTAGACTGTGGCGAATTCACGTGTTTCTAGTTGACATGGAAATGATCTGTTTTAGCATTTGTGACGCAGACTCTCATTATTATATTATTATTATTAATGCTGTTTTATTTCGGATGAGTCAGTAATGTTGTTAAAACGTCTCATATGTGATATTTTGTTACAAGAATGAAACATGTTTTAATGTTTTATTAAATGTGTTTTAAAAAGGTCCAGACCCCGGCTCATCCATTATTACGCACCGTGCGTGATGAGGGTGTCTGGGTCTGACTGCTCTGTTCTTCTCTTTTATGATCTTTTCGTTTTCAACCAACGTTTCCTCTTTTGGGTTTTCGATATGAATCTGCGTGTACAAGCATTTTTCGTTTCCATTCCTCTTCCTCTCGGTTGACACAGAACCCAAACTTGTATGATTTTCACGTTCCAAGACCATCTGTGAGGCTGTGCTGAACCCCACAACATCTGCACACACACAAACACACACAGAGACACACACACACACTGCTCATTGGCCCGAAAATGCTGCACAAAACTGAATACAAGACTAATATCAAATCCTAGGTGCTTTGTTTTCACACATGCATGTGTGAGTGTGTGTTTTTAAGGAGGTTGAGTTTTCGTAGCAGTGTTCAGCTGCCTGGAGATGGGGCCAAGTGAACAAAGACAGTATTTCACTGTTGGCTGACAGGCAGCTGCGAAAGTATTTACAGCCTCACTGCAATGCGGCAAAATGGATCCTGGAAAACAGGGCAGCAGTGAAAGGCACAGAGGAGACAGGGTCCAGTCAGGACTGGGCGGTTAAAGAAGATTCTGTGATTTTTCTGTGTTTTCGTTCGTTTTAAAAACCATAGTTTTACCCCACAACAGAATTGGATACATTTTAACTGGTTTTTCAGAGTTTATAAAAGGATGGAGTTGTATTTCCAGCACAATTTCAATCACCATTAATGTCCTCTAGTCCCATTTCAAGGTCTTTGGATTATTGTGATTGAGATTATCGTGGTTTGGGAGATTCCTTTCTTTTGTTTTACGAGATAATTAGTGTGCATCTTTACATATTTCTTATCCTGGGTATATTTTCATTTCATTAATTTTCCAACTATGTAAAGCTTCTGATATATTTTATTTTTAACCACATCCTGGTTTTAATTGTTTAGCTGTATTTATTTACTCCATATATTAACATTTTGTTGTTTATTGTGATTTTCTTTTTCGTGTGGACCAAACACTCCATAAGTGTCTAAATGAAGATTTCACATGAAAAAAGATTTTCAATATTACTTCCGATATCAAATTACTTTTATGTATTTTATGTTGATTACATTCGTGCTCTTGGACACCTATTCGAACGTTTAGGTCGATTTTTAAATTTCTTCTGCAATAATTTATGTATTTTATTGACGTGCAACCTTTTAATTTAATTATTTTATTTTAAACGTTCTTTAAAAATGTAATTTCAAAATTTTATTTGAATTTTATTCATATTTTCTTTCACTTTCTGCCGTTTATTTACTAACAAGACGAAACATTATCAACTGCGACTAGGCCTGTTTGCCTTGGTTGATATTTCTCTGTGAGAACGGAAAGGTCGTTAAAATTCCAGCAGAAGGCGCTGTTGGCCAACAGTCGGCCTTGCTGCTTCCATTGCTGACGCTTCAGCGGCAGCTTCCTGAGCGCTGTGATTGGCTAATACAGATCACATGATCTGTTTCATTTTTTTTTTTTTGAAAGCGCTTCTAGAGGAAGTGCGAGATTCCGACAGATTGGAGCAGCTGAACTGGTAAAATTAGCTGCTTTTAAACTACACTGTGGTTGTTGTGTCTGTTCTGTCAAGGTTTTATCTACACTTATGCAAGTCATTTTGTTGCTTTTAGTTGGCTTCTTCTAACTTTCTTGGCCTCTTCTTCTTTGTCCTTCTTCATCATTAAACGTGTCTCACCGTGTGTTGGAGGCTGAGGTGGAGGAGAGAGAGTTTAGTGAAAAGTTTGGACAGAGATGTTTGGATGCAGCTGATCAAACAGTGTGTAAATAAGACATGGGATGTTGGAGATGAAGATGTCAGAGGTTAGGAACACCAGGGAACCCACAGATGAACATTATAGGATGGTTGGTGTGACTGTGGGCGAGGTGTTCCACTGTGGCCACTCCTGCAGGAGCACCAAGCTGTGACTGATTTCATAAACCATGGTGTCTTCCTGTTCATGTGAGTGGAGACGATGTGACAGTGGACGCAGCTAAATGGAACACAGCCCTGGTTAATGTGATTATTTACACCCACGAGGGTTTTTTCCCCTCCTGTCGAAGTGACCAGTGAAATGGGAAACAAACAGTTGTTTGAATGACACATCAAAGAGATGATGTCACTTTATGATGTCACACACGCATTAGAAACAAGCTGTTGGTATTTATCTGAACATCCAGTAGGAGAGTGAGGAATCATGTGCAAATTACATCCAATTTAGGTTCAGTTTGTAACTGAATACACTTTATGTACACGTGTGTGTGTGTGTGTGTGTGTGGCTTGGATGTCTTTATTTGATGCCAGAGTTGCTCAAATTGTGGGCAGTGACCCAAACAAGTTCACACACTGAGTTCTTTTGGGTCATGACTCAATAATACCAATTGTAGTCATGTTTTTTTCTGGTTTGCAACTTAAAAATCTGTAATGTGTTTTTGTAAGAAAAAAACCCCCTTTTGATTACATTTTGGGGGCAGAAGTTGAACCCAGAGACGGCTTTTCTCTAGATGACTATCACACTGTATCTAATTTTAACATGCAGCCTACAAATGGGTTTGTTTTCAAATGTTTCCCAGCTTTCCGCTCATGCCAGTGAGCTGTTGAAGCACTTCCCATTTTAGGGCATTACTGCCCATTAAACCACTGAAGAAATACACAAACCTGACACTATCTATTATTGCAGAGACTGAGAGTGTGAGTGTAGACGTTTGTGAAATGACTCAGGAGGCGAAGCCACAGTTCTTTTTTTAGGAGCCCTGAAAACATGAGGGTAATAACTTTTTTACAGGCCACTGATTTCATCTCCTCACATTTTTCATACCTTGTCCTCAGTGGCAACCATCCGACACATGAACACTCACCATCATTGTAATCAGCTGCCAACAGTTTAGACAGACAGGAAATGAAAGAGGAGGGCGGGGCCATCGTGCTCTGCTTCAATGGGATTGGCCCGGAAGAATGAATGACATCAGTCTTATTGTGGCAGGTTCACTGGGGAGAGAAATGAATTTTTCAGCAGTGATGCCTGCTTGATGTTTGTGGTCAGGCTTTGGAGGTCAATGTAAAACGTTCTAATCAGTGTTTGTGATGTGACTGATTATTTCCTGGATGATAATTAAAATGATCAGAAAATTAGCAGGTCTCAGTGTGAGTGCATTTTTTCTTTCTTCCTGTGCTGTCAAACGGTTGAGTCTCGCTGCCTTCCTGTTGTTGTGTCATGCAGCCACAGCCTTTCTCTGCTTCCTCATTTCTGAGACTTGACTCAGGGCACATCAGTGCAAATCGGCGTTATTGAGTAAGTGCAACTTTGAGGGTTATTTATGGGCCAGCGCGCCGTTGTGAATGGCTGCGAGGAAACACGTGACGCCATTAAAGTTTGTTTTATGGCCTGAGACTTGACAAGCCAAAATATAATTCTCATTGTGTATTAGTAAGAGGGTCCAGATGGTTTGGAATGCATGGAGCTTCATTTGGCACCGAGCTGGGAGCAGAGCTGTGGCAGGAATATACTTTTTTAAAAGAAAAATCTTCTTCCCATGGAGGCGCTGTTTGATGAGCTCTGCTGTGCCATGTGTTGCGGTCCCTGCAGTGGTAAGCGTTAGCTTTTATCATTCTGCTTGTGGTATGCACGGACGTGTGATGTCATACGCAGAGAGCTCTATATACTGTCAATGGTGCGAGAGAGAGTGCGCAACAGAGTCAAGGAGAAGCCGAGCTGCTGCTGCTGCTGCTGCTGCTGCTGCTGTTGTTCTGTGTGGAGTCTGTCCTTCCATGGAGTTTTGACTTGTTTATTTACTGTTGCTGTTGCAGTCAATGTCACTGTGGCTGCGTTGCTTTATTTCAATTCATCAAATTAAAAAAAATATATTTTAAAACTTATTAAAAACTTAATTTAATTATTCGTTTTATTTATTTATTTATTTGTTTATTTATCCATAGTTATAATGCAGTTTTATTACATCAGTATTATTTCAGTACTATTTTTATCAACTTCCAGGAAAATCTCCATATTTTAGGACCAAATTAGTTTAATCTTATTTAGATTCCTATTTAAATTATTTTTTAAATGATTCATTTGAACAATTATCAGAATATTTTCGCGTCAGAAAATTGCTATTTATTAATAGCCTTAAATATATTTAACTTTACTTTTAGTTTTCCCCGTAATGAGTTTCTGAGTCAATATTATAGGCCTTTGAAAAAACAAAACAAAACAAAACAAAACAAAAACAGACCTTTGAATGAATTATTTCTTTCATTTACTGTTGGAAATTTAATAATTCTGGCACTTTGTTTATTCCTAATCAGTAAACGATAGAAACCCACGGGTTACGGCCTGGTCTGTGACAGAAATACGTTTTTGCAGGCCTCGTGTTCTCTGGCGCTTGAAAAAAAAAAAAACATTAAAAAACCAGCAAAACGTGTCTATTTTAACCATTTAATCCTGACGCTCAGGAGTGGGTACAGAGAAAGCCTTTGGTCTCTTTTCATTGAAGTGGCGTCTGCTGCAGAAACCGCTGACTTTATCTTTCCTTTGTCTCTATCTCGGCTTTGACCCGTCTGAAGGTCCAACAGGGCGAGGGTGAAAGACAGGTCAGGCTGTCTCTAAGTTTAAAACAAAAAAGAAACCTTGACGTGAAGAACACCAGATGAATTGTGGACGTTCTTGAATGTTTCACTAAAGTATGGTTGGAACGAACGTTTGTGGATTTTATGTGAAAAATGTCAAAGTAAACTCTTAGCCTGTAGCTGAGCACTAATCCTAACCACTGACTTTAATTTGATGACGTTTCACTTCAAGCCCAATTCATGCAAATTATAAACTTTCAGCGCACAAATATACCGTTCATTTACAAAAATAATATACAATAGTTAAAAAGTTAATAAAGACAGAGTTAAAATATATATAAATATAATAAAACTAATAAATGGATCGACGACATGAGACAAAAACACGAAGGTTAATTTTACTATAAAACATTAAAAATTAATTATTATAAGAATGTTAAAACCTTAGTTAAATATTTTATCAGATTACTGGATTTGATTTGAATATTTTTATACTTTATTCGTCTCAACTATTCCTGTCATTAGAACATAAAGGCTGAAATAAAACTCTTCAATGACAAAACACCGACAGAAATTGTTTAACCTGAACCAATTCGACCGAACATTTTTACTGAAATCTGGTTTGATTATTGCACGTTATTATATATAAACCCTTATTACAACAGTATAATCTTTACTCTTTTATCAAAATAAATAAATAAAGTTATATTTTCTACATGTGAACTGGTTCTCCTGCCTGGATCCATTAGTCAGAGAACCTTCAGGAGGATTTGCTGTGCTCTCTGTGCTGCTCTGTCTAATGGCTGACGAGGTTCTGGTAAACTTTTGCACCCTTTCAGCTGTCAACAGCAGCAGAAATAATGGAATTTTTTGATAACTTGGTAAATGATTTGGTCTGACCTCTGCGGGCCCCTGTGTGGCCTCGTCCTCCTCTGGTCAGGAGAGCCTGATTGGCCCGTGATTTTGGGATCGGATTCGGCTGAGTCGTTTCATATATTTTGTAAGTCGACCTGTGTTCCCTGGAAGTTTTTAAAAACCCTATACCTTCTTTGAACCCTGTGCAGGGTCGCTCTGAGTTTACTGGCTCATGTTTTCATCCATTTTTCTGTGACATGTTACAGCTGAGGCTGACATGAAGGATGCTCTGGGCAGCTGTGCCCCGTGGGCTTCTGGGAAGAAAGGAAGAAAGACGGGAGTTGAGAAGATACTGTATATGACTGGGTTAAAAGTCAGATAAAAAAACACTTAACTTAAGAAACTGAAAGTAACTTTTTTTTTATTATCAACACTGGGAGATTTCGGTGTCTCTGTGGGTTTTTATCACGTTTGACTAAAGTGTGAACGTGTAAAACAAACGTCCAGCTGCTGATGACGGCGTGGACTGAGCAGAGCTGTTCGCCGTCGTCTATATATACCCTGTAGAACCGAATTTGTGTGATTAAATCACGGTCACAGATTCGATTCTAGGGGAGTATATGGTCGATGAAAAAACTTCGATATTTATTGGCTCTGATCCGGATCTTACAGGTTTCACTTTGACAGATAAGAGTAAATCTGACAGCGGGGCATAAAACATCAGCATGTAGTGAAACCCGATATGGGTTTTTAGAGAAATGTGAGACACGATGTTTCACTTGGAAATGATGGGAACAGAGACGGCTCAATATTTGTGTTTTAAACGCTGCTCCTGTTGTAAAAAGGCTGAGCTCCAAAGTCCAGCTGCAGCTTCTCTCTCTCTCTCTCTCTCTCTCTCTCTCCTGTGGCTCGTTTCTGATTCTACATTATTGATTCCCAGAAGCTGCAGCTTCTGACCAATAGGCTCCTGGGACACTTTCTTCTCCCCCCCCCCCCCCAAACGGGAGTGGGGTTGAGATTGGTGTAACTTTTGGATGACCCCCTCTTTGACAAAGACAGTGTCCATCAATTGTCCCCTTGTCATTATTGGCTGCTTTTATGCCAAGGGGCTTTTTGTATCTTTTGTTGTTGCCCTCTGTTGAACACTGCGCCTTTAAATCAGACTTCAGACCCTGAGATCACTTCATATCTGCTTCTCTTTAAACAGCTTATGTAATTTTATAGTTTTGGATTCAAAATGTTCTTTTTGTAGTGAAAACCGTACAAATAAAGGTTTTACATTCATTTTGAAGTGTGTTTTGCTTTTTTTTTTTTTTTTACTGCTCTTGCCAGTTGAAAAAGTGCACATTTAGAGTTAATTTGGTCCAATATTACATAATTTCCTCCGTGCTTTGATTTGGTCGCATCTTAACTCAGATAACACTGCCTTTTAGTTGTATGTTTACTCGTGTGTGGACCAGCGTTACCTCCATTGGCCGATCTGGTCACATGGTTCGCTAACTTTATTCAGTTGACACCAAGTAGGAGGGCTTTATGGAGGGAGGAAAAAAAGACAACTCGAGAAAAATTAGTATTTTCTACCTTCAGAAATTAATGGCCATGAGTTCGTATATGGTGAACTCTAAGTATGTGGACCCTAAATTTCCTCCCTGCGAGGAATATTCACAAAACAACTATATACCTGAGCAGGGCTCCGACTACTTCAGTCCCTCGCAGGACACAGACTTTCAGCATCCAGGGATCTACCCACGGCCAAACTACACGGAGCAGCCCTTCAGCTGCAACACTGTGCCGGAGCCCACGCCAGTGCCGCAGCCACGGGGTCATGTGCACGACAGATCCAGCCATGCGAGTCCCTTCGGCGAACAGACAGAGCAGGGGGCCACGCTCCAAGTGTCCGGGACCCGGACTTGTGGACAGCAGCAGCAGCAAAACACAAAGAGTCAAAATGGGATTCAGTCCAAGCAGCCTGCAGTAGTTTACCCCTGGATGAAGAAAGTCCACGTTACTACTGGTATGATTCTCTTTCTTCTGTTCTTCTTATAGAGCCTGTGGGAGCAGCAGTTTAGAAATCGTTCAGTGTAATATTTATGGGACTCTTTCAAAGGCCTCGCCAATTACACAAGTCATAAATTTTTATAGCTGAGGAAATAGGCCGCGAGGTGAGTGTCTGAAGCTTCTGGAAACACATTTTGACCGCCTGTAATGTTAACTTTAATCCGCTGAAAATTAGTTAAAATGCGACTTTAATTCCTGCTATAACTGCCCTGGGAATCAACTCAGAAGTTTTGTTCGTTAAAAAATAAATAAATAGAAGCGACATGTGACCACTTTTTTGGTTTGTTTACGTTTTACTTTTTTTTATTCCAATGCATGCATTTCTTTACCCACACAGTGAACCCGGATTACACGGGACCAGAGCCCAAACGGTCCAGAACTGCTTACACCCGACAGCAGGTCCTGGAGCTGGAGAAGGAGTTCCACTTTAACAGGTATCTGACCAGGCGGCGGCGGATCGAAATTGCCCACACTCTGTGTCTCTCCGAGAGGCAGATTAAAATCTGGTTTCAGAACAGACGCATGAAGTGGAAGAAGGATCACAAACTGCCCAACACCAAGGGCAGATCTGCACCAGCCTCCAGCCATCTGCAGAGCCTGCAGAAGGACAGCCAGCAGACTGACATCACAGCGTTATAAAAAAACAAACAAAACAAAAAACAACTCTGCAAATCCAAACTGTACATAAGAAGGTTGCCTGACTTTTGCATGGACTTTTTTTCAGCCTTTTATTTTTTAAAGATTCTAATTTAACAAAGAAAACAAACCGACCGAAGCAGTGTTGAATCGTTGAGTCGAGAGAAAAAAAAAACAGCCAGTCTTTTGTTACTGAGACGCTTTTTTTATTATTTTCTCCCGGAAACTCATTTTTATTTTTATTTTTATTTTATTTTCCATTTATTTGGACTTTCTACCATTGAGGACATTTTTTTCATCCGACTCGGCTGTTTTTCTGGATTTAAACAAACCAACAACATGGATTCACTGTGGTTTCAGGACTGAAACATCTGTATCTAAAGCAGGGAAGCCCTTTGTTCATTATCACACACACACACACACACACACACTCACGCACAAACACACAGACACAGACAGACACTCTCTCTTTCCCGCACCTTGAATTATTTCAGTTTATTCCTTCTACTGAAACGCACAACAAACACAGAAAAAATACGTCATATTTATATATATGAAAATCTATATATACTTGAAGCATTATTTGCATTAAAGGCACGCCAAAACACGACCATATACTTCGTAAAAAAATACTGCAAAAAAAAATTCCCGCTGAATATTTTCAGTTCCACGTGTCTTTTTGTGACGTGTATGTTATTTTTTAACTTATTTTGTACAATAAAACCTTTAATTTTTCCTTTTTTCCCCTCTTTCTCACCTTAAATATGATTCCCCCAAAAGCAAGACATTCCTGTGTGCATACTATTCTGAGTGCCCTTATAAATCTCCCCTGACACCTTTGTAAACAATTGACATTTTCAGAGGCTTTTTTCTTTTTTGGAGAGATTTTGTTCCTGCATGTTTCCAACGTTCTCATCGAAAACGATCCCAATCCGCAATATTTAGGATATTTCTATGTTTTATTTCCTTCTTTTCCACCTCTTTATTTATTGATCTTGTAAATTTCTTTCGTTCACAACTGAATTAATCGTTTTAAATATAAATATATATATAAATATGTTCCAACTCGTGTGCATTAATAGCATGGCTTTATGCAAACGTTTAGTCTTAGTTAATGTTAATGGTTGTTATAGTTTTCCATTAAAACACGCGGTGGGGGGTTTTGGTGCCTTCACGTCAGGTCCACAAAGACGAGAGATATTTTTTTTGTTCTTGTTTTACACCGTTATTGTCTTCGGACTCAACACAAGGCAGAGAAAGAAGCCCAGAAGCTTCTCTGGAGGCTCTTCTTTCTTCTCAAGTCTCCACCATGAGAGGCTTGAAAAGGTATTTGAAACGAAGGTCGACAAAGCAGCAGAGGCAGGTTCATTCAGGGGACACGTTTCAGCCGCGAGGACTGACCCCTGCACCCCTGACCCGCCGGACAGGCAGCATTTTCTCTCCCAGGCGTTTAGGGTTTTTTTTCTTCCAAGTTCTTAAAAAATCTCCAAGAATGCGAATGAAGTAGGAGCGAATTAATCGATTCCTAATGTTATTGAAAAAAAAAAAAAAAAAACAACAAAAAAACCCCCGAAAACTATATTTACCGATATCGAACGCAGCCCCCAAAACTTCAGGTTGGTGCATTTTTGTTTTATTGTTATTTTTTTTATTGTGATTATTTTGCCTCCTCTTGTCAATATCACAGTCTTGGTTTTATTTTTGTACATGCTTTCTACCTTGTATTGTGCATTGGAGATGTGAGAAGTATATTGGACAGAAATAAAGATTTCTACTGATTATGCATTTGAATCTTTGCAGAAAAACACAGTTGTCTGAGATTTATTTTAAGAATTCCACTCGAGAAAAATTAATTTAATGGGAGGTGAGTTTTTTCTAAAAAAAAAAAAAAGAAAATCCAAATAAAAAAAAATTGAAAAAGACATTTATTTCAAGGTATTTTCACTGAGAACGTTTGGAGTTTTTTTGTTTTGTTTTTACAAAAGGTGTGGAAACTCCACGGCTGAGGAGCCATTTGGAGTTGAAAAATACCAGAATGCACCAAATGTGCGCTCCACGGGAAAATCCGGCCTCGCTCGACGCCAGGTCTGGATGTTACAGTCACTAATGTGTTAAATTCTAGGAAATGTTGAACTATTAGACTAGATTTATTCCGATAAAAGTTTTGTTTTTATTTAGTTTTTATCTTAGTTTGTGCTCGCCATATCTTATCGTGACCAATGCGCGCTGTGCGTAAAAATACCGTGGAACTTTCAGAGGTGGATTTTTTTTTCCACTTTAGGTTTGAACAAATCTGCGACAGAATTCTTCAAGTGGAATTTGAAATAACTTTCTGAATTTTTAAAACTCGTGTCCAGAAGTTCACTGACCCTGAAACTGACCAACAACAACTTTGGTCTTTCACACGTGTGAATCTCATCTCTAAACCCGATTCTGCTCCACACTGTTTGTGTGTGTGTGTGTGTGTGTGTGAGAGAGAGACACACACACACAAACAAACACGCACACTCTAGACTTCTGATATTTCATCGTCTTTATTGGAGCCGATCTGTTTCCACTGCGGCCTCAGCCCTCCTCAGTCAGGGATCAGTTCTGATCCAAACTACAGTGACCGTGAACAGACATTTGGAGAGACCTCCAGGTGGTGTTTTGATCTGCACTGACCACCGTGTGATCCCCACTGACCATATGTTGACGTGCACATGTCTGTTCAACTCAAGCCCCTGTCATACATGGATATATGTGTGTGTGTGTGTGTGTGTGTGGACTCAGAGGGAAGCTGAGACAAAGTGATGCTCCCAATTCAGCATCCTGCCATCACTGATCTACACATAGATGCTGAGGAGGGGGGAGAAGGGGGGGGGGGGGGGGGGGGGGGGGGGGGGGTGCTGACAATTGAACAACTAACCTGGCTAATATTACAGACTAGTACCTGTTCTGGACCGTGTGGGTTATTTGTCATTTGGAAATGATGTCCCATCTCTAAAACCTGTTCATTATGATGTGTTGATATCTGCACTGATGCTGAATAAACGTATCATCCTCTCAGCTGATCTCAGGTCAGAGCAGCCTGCACTCTCCGCCATACGCCGTGCAGATCCACACACTGACCTACATGTCTGAACAGCAATAAATGGGAGCCAAAGGCAGTGCCATTTTCAATGACACTGCAGCCCAGTGTGAGGAGCGCGGCGTCGGTTCTCTCCGTCCGGCCATATTTGATTTCCAGCTGCTTTTTTTCCCCCCTCGCACAGGCAGAGAAGAAGCCATGGAGCCGTGAAGACACAGCCTCCCCCTTTAAAGACACATGAAAGTGCGCTGTCTGCATTCACAGATATAATCCAGAGACTATAACCACTGCGCTCTCCATTCCAGACCACGTGATTGTCTAAATAATTAATGCAGCACGTCCCCCTAGAAACACGGCGTCGTCATTAATCGCCAGGACTCTATCAGACTTGAAAACTGAAGAGATCCCCCAAGAAAATAATATCCGATTCCCGGCGCAACCGTAAACCGTCTATAGCCGCGCACCGAAGGTTTAGCTCCACATCCGATCCCATGGATGCTTGGGTAGGTAAATATTTCAGCTTTTTCCACACGCTGTTGTAAGTGGACGATACGAATTTTGGAGATGTTTGATAAATTGCTGTATTTGTTGAGGCTGTGGTCGTAGTCGTTCTCTGCATGCGTGGAAATATGGTGAAATTTAAAGCTGGCTGGTTTTTTATTACACTTTGCCTTGAAAGGGATGGATGAGATATATGGTGCAAATGAAGAGGCAGTGACATGTATTTATGGATGCTCACTCCGAATAAATGCTCCTACGGACACATAGCTCATTGTGTCTCCATCACAGCAGCCGTGGATTCTTCATTCCTGAACAATTTAACTCACATTCAAAGCTATTTATTTCCGCATTATTGCAAAAAGAACTATACCATTAAACAAACAAAACAAAAAACACAGATTTTTTTTTTATTCCTTATCGGCAAAGTGGGAGCATTTATTAAACAGTTATTTATCTTTACTTTTCGTTAGCGTTCACCCGGACAGGCTGTCCCTTTACTTGTGTTTTTATTATTGGATGCACTGATCTGACTTGGGTTTCCTGGAGGCAGCAGCAGCAGCAGCAGCAGCAGCAGCAGCAGCAGCAGTGTAGTAGAAGTTTGGCCAGGCAGCCTGACAGTTCTGCCTCCTTGTAAATCATTCTCAGTAATTCCTGAAAGGCTGCGAGGCTGTTGGGGGGCCGGGCGAAAACTGTAAATCTTTCACTTTTATTGCCCTGCGAACATATGCTACAACGCTACCAGCCCTCCGTCCCTTCATCTTCTCCTTCTCCTTCCACTACCTTCACTTCCATTTCTCCTGGTTCTTCTCTCCAAATGGAACACGGCTGAAGCCTCAGCCGACGCTTCTGTTCCTCTGGCTCCAAAATCTTCATTTTTCTTTCATCTATTCTCACCTACAATTTTTTATTTTTTTAATTGAATCTATATTTTTCATTCTCTAAAATATCCCACACATATATCTATCTATATTTATTTGTGTGGTTTGTGTCATTTCTGCCTGGCTAAGATTGATGTGTAAAACAATAGCTCTCCGTCTTTGTGTGTGAGGACAGACACAACAAACAAAAGATGATAATGTGGTTTATTTGAATACAATCCAAACCCACACACACACGTGGTTTATTTCATAAATCATTTTCAAAACGCACATCCCACACGTTTGCAATTACAACAGAAGACTAAACAGGGGAATCTGTGTTAAAACTCAAATGAAATCCATCCATGAGCAGCATTTAATTGATGCACAGTTCAAGGCCCGGTGCAGTGTGGGATAAATGAGGTTGGAAATAAATCTGAGCCGGACGGAAACTGCATCACCTCCACTGCCTTGTACTGCCTCAGTGAAGCAGGAGGAAAAAAATGCAAATGTTTATTGGTTTAATATCAACCGCAACCGACGCACATAGCGGTATCTGGGTAAATATTGCGGAGTACACGGAGTACACATGCTCGCAGTTCAAGGGCAGATGGAAAAGAAATGGGCAGTGGAAGATTTTCACACAGTTGAGGAGGAAATAAACGCCACCCTTTATCAAAATGGATTGGTGAGGTAAGGCATGGATGAAGAAGGGGACAAATCACGTGAACAAATATGCCTGTATCTTCAGGCTGCGCCTTTATTTGTCACCATAAAGCTGCCGAAACCCCAAATATTCCCAATGTCTGCTCCAAATCTGCACAGGCAGGCCCACGTCACTCGTTTTGTGTGAATTTCAGTCCATTTTGATTGATTGCCATTTGTTTTGTTTTTTTCTTGTGTGTGTGTGTGTGTGTTTTTTCTGCCTTTCCTCTCCCCTGGAATAAGGATACCTTGTTCGCTTTTTATTGGTAGTTGAATGCGAGTGCTTCCATTCTTTCGGGAATACTGTCTCCACTGGTATATGGAAATGTCTGAAAAACAGCAAGATCAGGTTTAGGACAGCATTGTCTGCAGACAAAGGGTGAAGGATTTATTCCAGCGGCTCCGTGTGTGTGGAGGAAGTGAGAGTCGAACTGCTTTATGATGAATTGATTCACAGGTAAGAAACTGCGCGGCGCAAAGCAACCTTTAAACCACGGGTTAATATAATGCGAGGGGATATTTATGATTTATTCCGTTGGCGGAGCTGATGCTCGTTAACGTCGTTCTGCCGAGGAGGACATGGAGGAGTCCACCATTAAAACACACTTCCGTTTTTATACATTTTTAAGTCATTCGAATATTATCGACACATGGAGCCTGAGCTGATGCTTCTCTTTTCTGCTGATTTCCAGGCAGAGGTAAAGACCAGAGAAGGAACTTTTCTTTTTTCTGGAGCCACTCGGATCGTAAATCACATTAATTTGTTGTCTTATCGTCACACTGGCGTTTGCCTTTTGATTTATGTGGTTTCTACTGTATGGCTTTGTTAACCTGCAACCTTATATTACACAGGGATTTTTTAAAGGATTATCAACCTGGACTACGGCGAATACTTGTATTTTCATGCAGTTTTGGATTCTTGTGCGCTTTGCTTAACTGGATCTCGTGTGAACAACATTTTCTCTATTTAGTTATTCGTAGACTTTTAATTTAATATTTTGAGTTTTTAAAGACAGTAATGTTTAATTATATTACTAATATATTATGTTTTAGTCTTTTATCGTTAAACCGAGCTTGTGCGTGAAATTCTACGCACACATATCGACATAACGGCGATGGATTTTCCCTCAAAATGCAGACAATCGGCGCTAAGGCATACATAATATAGTGCAAAAAAATAATTTCCTAATTTTTTTTATGCCGGTATTAAAAAAGCTAATTTATTTTTACACATTTAAGATGAACTTCAACGCCTCTCACTGCTGTTTAACCTTCAGTAAGTCCAGACTTTCTGAACAAACCCGTCAGATAATAACCCTCCACTCGGACTATGGCCCATTGTGTGCAGCAAACTTACCGTAACAGCGCGTAGGCGAAAAACACTGCGGTCTGAAAAGAGAACCATGTCTGAGTACTAGTAGCCCAGTGCGTAAAAACGCACTCGAGGCGCAGATTATCGACCAAATTCAACAAAAGAAAAATATTCCCAGTCATTCCAGAACAACTTCAAATCCACCGCTGTGTTTTGAAATTATATTCCTCAAATGTGGGTAGGCATGGGGGGTTTTAA